GTCCACTCAGTGAGAAGTACAGCCATTACCGCAGCCTTCAATCATCAAGCCTCAGTGGAGGAAACATGCAAGGTGGCAACGTGGTTTTCAGTCTCAACCTTCATAAGACACTACAAACAATTCCTTCTTCTCAGCTGATGCCACCTTTGGGCATAGAGTTCTTCAGGAGATGGTGGAAGATCAGTTCCCACCTGTCACTGAGACACTGCTATTGGAAGTCCCATTCCAAGATGCCCTCCTCTTCAGAGCAAGAATGGAACCTTGGATACTCACTGTGAAGGGTTCCTTCTGCTCTGAGGTTAGGAGGGCTTGTCCCACCCCCACCCCAAAAAAAACAGAAAGAAAAAACATGAACATCTACAAAAGTGGGATCTTGAGTCTGACATGATCAAGTTGCAGGGGAAGATGCCTGCTGACTCTAATCCTGCTGCTTATCATCAGTTATGCTTCTAACAGTGATTTACCTGTTCAAGTTGTTATTTTATCTTTGTTCTGTTCCTTCGTGTTCCTGGGTTCATTAACTCATGAAGTAACCAAAGACAGGAAATTTAAGAGTTTAGTCCTGCCTCCCTGAGGAGTTGGTGGGAATCACCCATTCCAAGATGCCCCCCTAACCTCAGAACAGACGGAACCCTCACAGTGAGTATCCAAGGTTCCATTCTTCAAGCACATCAACAACAGTCTGAGTAGTTTCGCATTCAGCTGCCTGAGCCCCGTTAAGTGTCCTCCTTGATCTGGTCCACATTGTTATCTAATAGTTGTTGCTCTCCTTTAATGTTGCCTTCTGTCTGTGTTTTGCTTGCTCCCGTACCTCAGGTGCCGCTCCCTCCCGATAGTCGCTGTTGTTATTGTCACACCTGTACTACACACCGTCCCTCCTATCTGCCGCTGCAGTCTGTTAGTCAAGGAGCTAAGGTCTTTACCCTTCTTGTAGTCATGTGTCTCTGGTTATGATCAACACTTTCTGTAATCAAAGCTACTCTTCTTGAAAGCTTCCCTCATTCTATCCCTGTTCCCTCATTCTGTTCCCTTCTCTTTTGAGTCTGTTAGTAGATTGATTCATTCCGTTTCCCCTCACATAACAGGAGAGGAACTTTGAAGACAAGCTGGGAATATTTCTCACCAGTGTTAAAACATGAAAGACATACTGTGAAAGACATACTCCAGTGAAAGACATACTATTCTACAATTTTAAAACCACTCTTGCTCGGGGAGAAGAGTTCTGTTACTTACACTACACAAACGTAACCGTAGGTTGCTTACTATAGTTTTTGAAGACTGGCTGTGAAGACTGTAGAGAACCACTGCCAGTCAGAGCAGACAGTTTTGACCTTGATGTCCTACTTGTCTGACTAATTATAAGGCAGCTCTATATATTCATGTATACCTGATTCACTGCTATCAGTGAATTTCAGCAAAATGCCATCAGAGTGTATCAATGTATGTGAATGCTTGAAGAAAATTAACTACTCATATCATAGAACAAGTTTTCTGTAGCCTGATGTGAAAGACTGACCTCAGTATTTATCATGGGATTTTAAATTCATGTCTTTTAATTTGGTACCTAAGACTTTTTAAGTTGGCCTAGATATCCTTCTCCCAAAACTGAACCAGTTAGTAAACAGAGATTTTAAGTGTCTGCAGTTCTGCCTTCAGATTTTTGAGGTTGAGTGACCTGCCTGACATTGCCTTTCTTTCCAATATTTTCTAGCTGGAGTCATCAGAAGTGGACCAAGACTCTCAATCCCATGCTAGTGTGTCCTGGGTTGTAGAGCCCAAGCAGGATTCCAAGAGGACCCTCAGCACTAAGTATGAGACTACTATCTTCTGAAAACAAATCCTGCATCCATCCAGTCTAACCGTGCCTTTGCAGTCTGATCTGTCTGCTCTTCTAAACCCCTCCTTCCTCCCATTGCTGGCAATAGGTTTGGCACCATCAGAGACAGCAGCACTAGGATACCATAAACTAAACAGCTTTTTGTATCTGATTTCTACTGAACACTGTGAATTCTCCTAACTCGGAAACAAGGGTAACTCACTGAAAGAGCCACCTATTTAAGATGTCTGTGAGGTGGGAGAAACAAAGCCAATGGGAGTCGAATATATGGATTTGAGAAAACATCTGATGTTTGTTGACTTTCTCTTCATTTTGACACTGTGAATTTCTGGGGTGAAGTAACACTCCACAGGCCTTTTCTATTAAGAATTCTTATTCTTGGATTGTTTTAGAACTTTGATCTCCAGTAGGTACATGCTGTCTCAATCTAGATTTATACCTCCATACTGAGTCATGGCCACAGACTGTTCCAACAAGTAGTGTTCTTTACCTGTCATCTCAGAAGACGCTAACCACTGTGATACTGCTTGCAAACCTCTTGCTCACCAGATTTCCTAGCATGGATCCCACTCACAATCCTTGCTGTCCCTGGAAACCTCATTGCATGGTATAATTTACAAACCTATTAGGCAGTGTGACTGCTCTTGTTAAGCTCTTTTTTCGCTAGGAGTTGGGCTCGGTATAGATAGTGCCCTCCAAGAATATTTTCAGCTGTCCTGTAAATACACAGGGGACCTGCTTTTTGCTGTTTTCATTATAGGTTTTGCCACTAGGAATTTCTGTTCACACCAGCCATTCTGCTTACAACCTTTTTTGAATATCATTCTTTGGATTTTGAATCTGTTAAACCTTCCAAAGGCACAGGTCATGAATTCTAAACTGTGTGCAGACATCTCTTAAGGTATAGAACCAAAATGTACAAGGTATGGGGATGGTGGTAATAGAAAGTATTATTCCTATAGAACACATTTTCCCTTTGGAGGAAAACATTTAACAGTCAAAGCCTCATGTTGACATTATTTCCCTGGAGTCTGCTAAATGCAACATTCTAAGTACCCTGGAGATACCAAAGCGTTTTACCATTTCCAGACAGGCCAGTTGTGTTGTGTTTGGCTTCTCACATTGTTTAAATACAAGCTTTACCTAGCTCCTTTAAAAAAGACTGCAAAAAATTACTGACTTTTGTATTAAGACCAAATTTTTTCCTTCAAACCAGTGGGTTTTAATATAATAAAGGAGCTAAAACGACAGACTAGTTACCATACTGGATAAAGCTCTTAAACATCTTCCGAATTTCCTCTGAGAGAAAGTCAGTCAGTGGAGTACCTGGGGCTTGGCACTTGTTGTCCCTGTAATAATTTCCAGGAGCAGTTTCCTTCACAGTTCCATTCTCCCGAGGATCCTTCCAGTGTGAGGTGTTATGATTCTTAGATCTTGTTTGATTTTGCACAGGAACCAGGGTTGTAACAACGGTGAATATTTAAGCTCCTATATACTACTTACACATTCCTCTCTACATTTGGGTCTTGCTCTGTGACACCAGAAAAGTGGTGATACAGTGTTATAACTCCTTGTAGCCAGGACCTCTGAAGCTTTTATAGCTTCTTCCTTATCTTTTTACAGAGTTGTATTTCTTAAGTACTTCCGATAATCATGCTTGTTCCTTTTCTTGCTTTGGTGAGGCAAAAAACGTCAAGGTGCTGTAACCACCTGTTCCAAATTGGGAACTATCATTGGATAAGAACCAAAGGTAGTTAAGCATGCAAACACAACTTAGGAAATCTATAATACCTTAGCAAGAACATTCTTAAACTTGCAATAGAAAAGAGGTGCTTCTCTTCTTCCCTACTTGCTGTAGTAAATTCTGCTGCTAGTCTTTGTGGCTTAAATAAAAAAGCCCTTTAAAATACTTTGAGAGGTAATCTCAAAATACATCTGTGCTTTGCATGTGTTCCCATGTTTGATGTTTGAACTCTTAAGGAAATTAAAGAAACACACAATTATTTCCCTCCTTTTCTCCATTGTCAAGGCTGGTGGCTATTAATCAGACATCCTGAAGCTCTCAGTGACATCTGAAAGTGGTGTTGGTGTTTGCTTTTTCCAAAACAGTGTACATGCCTTTTAGTCAGGAATTATCGAGGAGATATCAAAGCAGCCAGTTATGAACAAGACAGCCTTTTCCATTTGGCTGTAACCCAAAGCTGTGGCTTTGTTAACATGTCCGTCATCGTAAGCATCCTTCAGTTGTTTGACATAAATGAAAACACTCATTCCCTATTTATATTTCCATTAATATTATCCCCATTCTGTTTGCTTCTGCCAAGCTGAACTACAGACATCTGCGTTCCACCAAGGAAATGTAGTAAAGGGGCAGAGTACTAAGAAGCAATGAAATCCTCGCAGTATGAAGATCAACACCCGGCTCTGGGATGTGTCCTTGGCTACTCATTAAGGACTTCCAGAGTTGAGTGAAAAGGGATTCCAGTGACAAACTAACAAAAAAGTATGCATTTCTAGCAAGAGAATGGAGACTTCTGAGGTCAAAAGACTGATGCCATACGTTCTAGCTTGAAACATTTTTTTACAAGCAGTAATATTGTGAAATCCACATATTCAATGTAGCGTATTGCACTGATGGGGATGGAGAATCTTAACTACTAAAAGAAAATAGAGGATATGCTTTGTCAATCAAAAACAGCTGAGAGGACTCCAGAATCATTTAACGGTATATTTTCTCCCTCAGCTTGGGTAAGCAGCAGACAGATTCTGAAATCTTTGCAATTATAAGCATTTAATGTCAAGGTACTAATACTAGATGATGATTTACACACTTCATAAGCTCACTAAGTGGGAAATAGATTGTCTTAATGAAAACCAACAGTATGTAGCTTTGCAAAATGCAGGTACAGAGCCTACTTTCACTGCAAAGAAGGGTAGCATTGTAATATTTCTTTTCTGGTGAAAATACAGTAATTTTCTCCCACATATATACTTACATTGAATAACTGGACTTATGGCTCTTTGCATCTCATTCAATTGCCATTTTTAAAAAATATGGTTGTGCCCTGGAGGGTTGGGATTTTTAAGGTTTAATCACTGATTAGCACTTTTTATACTACATTATTTAAGTAAACTTATTATAACAGTTTCAGAATATAAAAATGTGGAGAGATTTTGGGCATTATGCTGAAACAGTTGATTTCTGGTTCAGATGGAAGCTGTACTATTATGCTTCATGTAACTTCACAATCTCTAACACTGGTTTTGGCTGTAATTAATGCATCTTTCTATTGCCTTTTTGGAAAGATGAGGAAGTGCAAATAAATCAATGGTGGGTGTGAGGGTTTAGTATCCTGCTACTGTGTTAATGGCTTGTTTAATTTTCAGTTACTGCTGTATCTTTAAGATGTAATTTAGTGTTATTCCAGTTGATGAAAATGCAAAGGGAACCAAATGACCACCCAAAAGGTCTGGATTTGAAAATAATTTGTAGATGAATTTTGGGAACATGGCATTCATTTTAAGTCCATATGTGACTAGTATGCTGGTGTTAGTATAAAAACTGGTATACTGATAAGTCTGTTCTGAGAGAATGCAAACTGAACTGCTTTCTTTGGAGAAGGGATAGCATTAGAGGATGGTTGGTTGCAGAAAGAGATGGTGAAAACTTCCTACTTGTTTCTTCCAGTGATCAGGTGCTTCCTTTCTCAGAGTTTACACAGATGTAGCAATATCTATGATGGCATCTCCTATTTAGGCAATCAAAGCCATTGTGGACTTGGCTTTTCCTCAGAGCTTGTTATACTCAGGCTTGAAAACAGTTTGGATGCTTGTACAGTATTTGAAATTTTTGCCTCTTCACAGGGATGTACAGCACACTGAGAAAAATGCCCTGTATTCCTGGCACTGAATTTTTGAGTTCTTCAATGCAAATGGTATCCCTATTCCTAGCCCTATCTGTGCTCCTTTTGCCAGTGCTCCATAAGTTTCCTGTTTCACAAAGATGTCTGTCATCAGTGGACTTAAATTTCTATCATCTTTTTATTCAGTTCTGGTCATAAAAACTGGCCTTAAGCTTTCCAGAAACTGAGCTTGAGGAAGGTCTCTTTGAATATGAGATACATGCCAATTTGCCCCTCAGAAAAGCAATTTAGAGCAGTTTCAAGTAGTAAGCTGTGCTGGCCTGCTTGTGGCGCTTACAGACCAGATATCTGTTAGTACATCACCTTTTTTAATAACTTCCACACTGAAACTGGAATGGGTTCGGTAATACTTCACTCCTCCATTCTGTCCCCTTTTGCATGATCAGTATGAATGTCTATCAACAGGACTTTTTGCTATACTTGCCCCTGAGGGAGCAGGCAGATTCTTGATAACAGGCAGTTTGGTTTACAATGTAGACACTTTTTTGCTAATTGTGATGTATGGCAGTGGGACTGATTTGTAATAAAATGTTATTTAATCTGTCTTTGTATTTTGATACTTGAACTATTTCCTTTTTATTTCCTGTATATAAAAAATGTTACTCTGTCCAGTTTGTGGTACCAAACATAACCAATCTGTACAACAACAACATAGACTGACCTCACTACAACAAGGCGAGACTGTAAATATTCCTGGGCTTCCAGCAGTCGTTTTGTTGTTATGTTTTTTCATAACTGTACAACTTAGAACAGACTAAATTAATAAAATTAGACACACCTCTGTTTTGGTTGCTGTGATATAAGTATTATAGTGTGCTGTGTATTATGAGAAGGCTACAACCTTAAGCATGCTTGTAAATACCTTTCAATGAAATCAACTGGGACTGCCTTATAAATAAATGATTGAATCGTTTGATACTTGTCTTACCCTTCCCAGTTGATGGAACATGTGCCAGATGGTCTAAAAACACAAAGTAACAACAGTAGCCACCACCTGGAGGCTGGCAACCTGAAATGCAGGGTTTCTTGGTTCTCTGTCATCCTCTCTGGCTAACGTTTCTCTCTCTCTTTTTTTTGAGCTGTTCAAAGGTATATTGTGGCAGAACTTGGCATTCTCAGTTGGTATTTCAGCAGCTTCAACAGTCCAGCTGTACAAGTGCTTTGGATACCACTGCACAGAGCAGGGCAGCTGCTTAGTTGATTACACTGAACTTTGACCCAAAGCACAGTCTGAACAATTGCCAGTCTTTTTCCCTTCTCCCTGCTGCCACGTGCTCTGCCTCGTTTGAGATGGTTAGTTAGGAATCTGTCCTTCCTCCATTCTTCCCCTCTGGAAGCAGAAAATTCTTCAGTATTTCTGAGTAGTAGGGACCAAACACCTGTCTGTTGTGGGCAGTCAAACTACCAAACCTTTGGCCAACTTCCAGCAGTTCTTCCTGTACAGGAGCAAGGCCTTGGGGGAGATTCTTAGTGTTCTGGCCACCAGGAGACACACAGTGGCCTAGAAAAGTTTGAATCCGTTGCTCTGTAGGAATTAAGATAGATGGTAGGAACAGGGTTGGTTCCCGTAAGTGTCCCTCTCATTAGGGACTCCTAATAAATTGTAAGTTAGATTATAAATTTAAGAATTAAACCACTCTTAGAACAAGACAGTGGTGTTGCACAACCTTTTTAGAAATTTAGTGAAATAGAACGCAAACAATACTAATGTCACAATATATAATCTAACCACATTTACTTTTAAAGCTTAAAAGCAAGTCTTACATTTGACAAGACATTGAGGTTAACCCGTTTTACCTCATCTACTGAATTAACAAGTCCTTTATACATACTTTGTCCTGGATGGTGTAATGTAGTCAACACCAACCATAATTGTGGAGATGGATCAAAAGCAAAATGTACTCTGGACCAACAAAAACTCATTTGCAGCTTGGTTTATAAGTCAAGCTGTTTGCCAATCACTAGTTAAAACAATTAATAGCATGTTTAAGAGTTCAGTAACACCTTAAAGACTAACAAATTTTGTGGTAGAGTATGAGCTTTCGTAAGTCACTGCTCACTTCCTCAAATACATCTGAAGAAGTGAGCAGTAACTCCCAAAAGCTCATACCCTACCACAAATGTTGTAAGTCTTTAAGGTGTTACTGGACACTTAGTCTTTTCTACTGCTACAGACAGACTAACACAGCTACCCATCTTTATTATTATTATATTTTTTTGTTTGCAGTTTCTTGCAGTGCTCATCTGACTTGTGCAGCCTAACTCTCATCCATGCCATCTTCAATTTCGTAGCATACAGATCTGCCAGGAAAGTGCTTTGAGTAGACTCCATAAATGAGTCCACTAAACAACTACACACACTGAATTAGAATGTTTGTAGGATTTGTCAGCAGCACTGGGGCTTAATTCATTGAGAAGAACACTCAAGAGTTTCCTATTTTAGCCTATCTTCTCAACTTCTGCTGTAGCACTGTGTATAACATGTAGTGTGCATCCTCTGCTGTTCTAGAGAAAGAAATCTCAATGTACAAAAAGCTTTAAAATATTAGTTTTTCCTTTCCTTTTTGAATACATTTTTGCCTCATTTTGTAAACATGGGAATTCAAATTATAGCAAAGAAAAGACAGACACAGCATTATAAATACAGATCATGATTCACATCCTGGAGCTGAAATCCATGCTTGTGTAGTCCAGTCTTACACTGCATTCTCATATTCAAGTGTAAAAATCACATCAAATATGCAAGAATCCACTTTTATGACTTACCAATTACCATTCGTACTGCATTGTCCTTATCTGCAATGCTCCCGATCTGGCCTTTTAGCGAAGCAGCCTTGTCGTTGCTGAGAGCAGGGTACCCCAGTTGGCACAGAATGTTATTTACCTCCTGATGTATTTGATTGCCGATGTCCAGTAAGGCGTCTTCTAACCTAAGCCATAAACAGATGTAACAGTGTCATGGGCTGCTCCTTGAGATTTACCCGGGGATAGCTTTTTATAACCATGGCAGTTAAGAGTCAACTTGCTGTCATTTCACAAAATTGACTTGTCAATGCAAGATAAAAAGTGGTGGTTGTTCTTGGAGCTCACAAAACCAAAATAGGACCCACAGTAAGTAGGAAATACCAAAAATCAGCAAATACCATGCTACAGACGGTTACAAAGTATCTCAAGTAACATTTATATATTTTTTCATTTTTGTATTATTTTTTCTATATTTCTTAAATTATTCAGCATTATATTAATTATCATATAAACATAAACACATAGAATCATATATCCAAACATCTAAGTATCGTCTTTTTATATATCACAAAAGATATTGCACAACCCCTTTATTAATACCAGTCCTCCTTAATTGTACAAAAGTTGTAAGAATGAGTACTAATTCAAAATAGACTTAAAGGAGTCCTCCCTCTTAAAACTTTTGTACAATTAAGGAGGACTGGTATTAATAAAGGGGTTGTGCAATATCTTTTGTGATATATAAAAAGACGATGTTTGGATATATGATTATGTGTTTATGTTTATATGATAATTAATATAATGGTGGATAATTTATAAGAAATATAGAAAAAATAATATAAAAATGAAAAAATATATTAAAATTACTTGAGATACTTTGTAATCGTCTGTAGCACAGTATTTGCTGATTTTTGTTCTTGGAGCTCATCAGCTAGCAAACAGCCTGTGCCACTCTTTAACCCCGTCTTGCTTGAGGGGTGTGCTTTGATGTGTCCTTGACTCAACTTCTGCACAGGCTGCTCTCCTGTTCCACCTATCTATCACTTGCATGGTGACAAAAACAGGTTGCTTACCTGTAACTGATGATCTTCGAGTGGTCATCTGTGCAGCCACACCTATGGGATTATGTGCCTGCGCTGATCCGAATCGGTGGTATGCAAAGCTCACAAAGGGATTTTCGCGCCTCTCTTCCAGGCATGTGCGGGAACCCCACTGCGCATGCCTAAGGAGGAGGGGCACGGACATCCCACCAGTTCCTTCTGACCGCTGTCATGTCAATAACCAGAGAAAAGTACTGAAGCGACAGCAGTGGGGAAGGATGGGCGGGTGGTGTGACTGCACAGATGACCACTCGAAAATCATCAGTTACAGGTAAGCAACCTGTTTAGTTTCTTCGTGGTCTCTGTGCGTCACACCCATGGGAGATTGAAAAGCAGTGGCTCACCTGGAGGTGGGAGCTGTCGCAAATTCAATGCTCTGCCGACGAAAGGACTAGACGACCAAGGTCCACTCTGCGGCGTTCACGAACATCAACAGCGTAGTGCTTGATGAAGGTGTTTGTCGACAGATCACAGATCGCAGACAGGGAAGCATCCTTCAAGAAGGCTGTAGACGCGGCCATGGATCTTGTAGAGTGCACTCATACAGGCAAGGGCAACGGGCGTTTAGCCAACTGGTAGCACAGCTTAATAGTCTCGACAATCCATTTGGAGAGACGTTGTGCTGAGATTTTAAGCCCTGCAGAATGACTGGAGTAGGAGACAAATAGATGATTCTCCCTCCTACTTGGATGTGTAGAAGAGCAGCGCCCTCCTAGAGTGTGGAGGAGTCACTGTTGTCCATCTTCCGGTTTAGGGAAGAAGTTAGGCAATAAGATCTCTGAGGTTAGTTGAAATTTGGAGACCACCTTAGGCAGAAAGGATATGTCAGGGACCAGTCTCACACCGGCAGGAACACAAGGAAAGGTGGGTCGTAGCGTAGAGCCACGAGTTCGACCACCCTCCTGGCCAAGGTGATGGCAACAGGAAAGGCAGTTTTCCATGCTGCATGCTTTAGCTCGCAAGTCTCCATGGGCTCAAAGGCCCGCCCCATGAGATGACGGAATACCAGCGGTAGATCTCACAAGGGTACCAGTGAGCGGATTGGTGGATACAGGTGGAGGAGACCCTTCATAAACCTCTTTGTGACCAGGTGAGAAAAAACAGAAAAACCGTCGAAGCCCGGGTGGTAGGCCAAAATAGCTGACAAATATACCCTGAGTGAGGAGTGCGAGAGCCCCTTCTCTGCCAGTGATAGCAGAGAGTCTATGACCTGGTCAATCCTGACAGAAGCCGAGGGGACATCAGTGGGGTGTATGGAGGCTGAGAAGTGGGCCCACATCCCACTGTAGGAACGTCGCGTAGAATCTTTCCTGGCATTGAGTAGCACAGTGTTGATTCTGTCAGAGAAAGTTAAGTGTCCACGAGATAAGATGTTAACTTGAGCTTGTACACCTCGTGGAATAGGAGGGCTCCTCCCTCCGCCAGGAGCATATCTGGCACCTGTGGGAGGGGATAGTGTGCCTCGGCTAGCGAGAGGAGATTGGCGAACCAAGGTTGCTTCAGCCACCAGGGGGTGATCAGGATGCACCTCGTATGGACCCTCATGAGTCTTTGGACCGTTCTCAGCAACAGAGGCAGAGGCGGGAACATATATAGGAAGTTGTTGTCCCATGGGTACAGGAGTCTGTCTCCCAAAGCCCTGGGATCCTGAGCCGCCCTGCAGCAAAACATTCCCCAATATTAATTGAGAATTTAAGGCAATTTGGCTAACAGGCGTACCCCACTTTTGAAAGACGGGATGTAGGTAAGTCCAGTTCAGCTCCCAGTTGCGATGCTGAGAGAGACCCCTGCTGAGCAGGTCCACATGCACATTGGCCTTGCCAGCGATGTGTGAGGCAATGGGAAAGATGTGCAGAGGCATGCACCAGGCCCAAAGGTCCAGAGCCAGGAGGCAGAGACTGCGGGAGACCATTCCACCCTGCCTGTTAACGTAACTGAGGGCCATCATATTGTCGGTTAAGACAGTTACGCATTGTCCTGCGAGCAGAGGCTGGAAACATTGAAGGGCCAATTTTATTGCCAACAGTTCCAGAAAGTTTATGTGTCCCTTTGAGGATACAGCATCCCACCTGTGACCTATGGAGAGGCCGTTAAGTGGGCTTCCCAGCCCCACAGTGAAGCGTCAGTTGTGAGGGTGAGAGTAGGAGTGGGAGGACGGAATGGGATCCCCTCCGTCAGGTTGTCTGACTGCATCCAGCACAGTAGGGAGTCACGTACCTCTTGTGGTGGGGAAAAAGCAACCGATTGGGACATCCTTAGAGGCTTGAAG